GACGCTATTACTATGCAATTATTATGAAATTAACAAAAGAGGACAAAAGGAAAGACGTTTTTATTTATTTATATCTGATATTAATATTGAAAGTGAACATAATTTCACCTTATTTTCCTCTTTCAATCATAATCCTTAAAATTACCAAAGCATATGTATATGGATAACCACCAGCTAAATTACCTTTCTGTATAAAAATGAAAAATTATTTTGCTATTATCAGCAATATTGACGTATACTTCAAATGAATGTACAGTGCGCAAAAAAATAAATGGACCCACCGGAATAAATTTTAATCTTAAGTTCTGTTCTTCATGTTCTAGGACTCATTCTTAATGGTGTGAGAGGGTGACATCAAATATACTAATTAATTTGTCCAAACGATATTTTAAGTTAGGAAATTAGACATAAAATCATTATCCGATTAGGCATACTTTTTTTCGACGGATTCGGATTTCTGACCCCCAAAATATAGTAGTTTCAATCTAGAAATATTGTTTTAATAGTTTTTTCAGGAGCGCGCTTCAGAGTTAGCACCCTTTAATGTTTACTTTAGTTTTTGCGTATTTCACTATATCCCAATTTTTTTTAAGTGAATTGAAAAAGCTTTGCATACAATTCCAATCTGATCAATCAATTCCTATTCGTTTTTCTAAAGATAATTTCATGCAAAATAAAACTTTTAGACTTTTACAACCTTTTTTATTATTACTTTATTTAAGGGAAGTCGAGAAACTTAAGAAATGCAAATTGTAAAATTTTTTCATCATTTGCAATTTTAAATATCAAAATACAAAATTTAAGCAAAATCGGTCAAATAAGTCCTGAGAAATAAATAAAAAAAATCTTATTTTTCGAAATTTGGTCCCCTAACTTCTTAATTTTTAGTGTCCATTTTTTGTGACATAAATTTCGTAACTATGAAAGCAAATTAAAATCGTAGAGGAAAGAATGTTTCGCGTTGATAGTGGTAAACAATAATTAATTAACTGTGTAAAAGGTTATTCGTTGCAGGCGTATGTCAATAAGTAAAAAGCCTCTGCAGGGCGAAACAGAAATCTTGGCAGAAAGTGTGCTTTCAGCTTTGCAGAGAAACGAAAACATAGGCAGACAAACAGCAGCCATGTGTGGCAATTTTTTTTTAAAAATGTAAGTTTGTTAATATTCGTTTATCGGACGCAAATTTAAAATTTGTAAATTGAAAAATAATTATAAATTTAAGATATATTGTTTAAATCTTATATTTTAAGCCGATGGAGAAATTAGCATTTTGCAGGACACAGATGTTCACTTTAAAAGTATCTTTGAAAAGAAAAAGGAATCGCAAGGAGAAATTTTAAAAGTCTCTTTGTATTTATTTACAATATATATTAACATCGAATCCCCTGATTAAAATAGCCTTTTTTTTTTTCCGTAAAATTATACTATGTAACAATTAAAAAAAATTCGAATTTTACAATTTTATGGGCATAACCATTTTGAAGTTCGTTCAAAACAGGGCATGATATCTTTAGATAGAATACGTGGATGCAAAAAATGTACTTAAAACTTTATTTGAAAAACATTTAATGATTCAAAATCCAATCAATACATATAAAAATAACATTACATATCAAAATGTTCGTTAAATGTTTTGTTAAATGTGCATATAATTTTTGCGCTATGCGAATAATTTTTGCGCTAAGAGAGTAAGAAGCGTAGAAATTTTTTGAAATAGCGGTTACTGCTATAACTATTTTTCTTTATTACGGAAGTAATTTTTACACTTACAATGTATGGTAAATTGCACCATACAGTAATACATCGATAACAGAAAGAAAAAGAATTAGATTTAAATTTGCATTAAAAGGAATCTGCACATTACGGTATCAATATTAGTGATTTTAGATTCTTAGAAACACACTTGAAAAAAATGATGTGAGAAAAAAATGTAAAGTATAAAATTCGCTTTAATTTAAATATTTTGAATTAATTTGTTTGAGCCCCCTGTCGGGGGAGACTTGACCCCTTGTCGGGCAGAGTCTGGCGCCATCCCTGTGTATGAATAATTAGATATTGTAAAATCTATATTAGCTCTTTTTCAATAAATAAGGAGATACATCCATTTTGTGCGCACAGAAAGTGCATACCAAGTTTTGATTGCATTCTACCGAACAAAAAATCGTATGTATTTTCTGTTGGAATTAAGAATCTGTTGGACCCAGTACCAGCCTGTCACGGATTAAATCGTTTTCTTGGCTGCCGAAACCACATGTGGAAGCTAGCGTTTTCAGTTCAGTAAGATAGCTGTCTACCTGCTGCCCTTCTTGTTGAATGCAAGAGAAAAATTTGAATCTCACAAACACAACATTCTTTTTTGGCATGCAGTAGTCTTCAAATAACTCAACAACGTCATCAAACTTCTTTACATCTTTATCTGGACCAGGCTTGAACGTATTAAATATACTCACTGCTTCTTCCACAAGTACGTTGTGAAGTATGGCTATTTTTATCTGGTCTGACTTTTTGTCTTTTTCTGACGCTATTAGATAGTTAAAAAACTTCTGTTTCCATTTCGTCCATATTTCTGAAAGGTTACCTGAAGTAAACTTTATTTCGCCTGGAGGCCTAAACGTCTCCATGCTTTTATTATGAACACTAAGTCCTGAACGAAACTAGAACGAAAAACGAACATTAAGTTCCTCTCAAATACATTTAGGCAAGCATACACGCTGACACCATGTTTCTCTTTTATACCTTCAAGAAATGCAAAGCCTTCAAGAAATGCAAAGCCTTCAAGTTTCATTAAAAGTATATTTATTAAACATTATCAAATAAGACAACAACCTCTCAGGCCAGAACAGAGCAAGTACTGAACCTGAACAACATCAATGCGTCAATAACGTCACAGTTACAATCACAGTTAAAACTCATATGTGACAATACCAGTGACAAATAAACGGTGAATACGGCAATCTTAAGCAGCATAGCTTTCCACCAAATTTACTACCGGTGAAAATTTTCTAGTTCCGTGTTTTGATTGCATTCTACCGAACAAAAAATCGTATGTACTTTCTGTTGGAATTAAAACTTCTTATCATCATATATGCTTCTGGTTTGATTTTCATGTTCTATATTGCTCATTTTCGTTTGTAATGTCACATAATTACACGAATTTTTGTCGATACATTCTTAAATGCCTTAGTTGTAAAATTTTCAAAGCGAATTATACTTCCGTTCAAATTTCAAATTAGCACTTGAGATTTCAAAAAGGCAACCGTTGTCATGGAAACTGGGTTTCTCTTTGGCGCACGAGGTAGGAAAAAAACAAACAAAGAAACATATTGGCGTTAAAGAAAACTAATTAAACAATAAGCACTAAATTTTTTTTTATTCACCAAGAATCTTACTGAAATTTGAACTAAATACGGACAAGAACAAGATTTGTTTTAGAACATTTAGAAATAAGCTGATTTCTTATTATAATTTTTAAAAGGAATAGATTTTCTTATTAATATTTATTCTACTAAGCGAAACAAATTTTAAATTGAACAAAATATCGTATTTAAAAAGTTGACAAACATATATTTTCATTAAATCCAAATAAAAAAAATGTACTTTGATGCTCATAGATACTTTGCTTTGTATACTTATTTTTCCATGAATTATTATTATTTTTTTTTCTCGTAATTTGACCATATTTGCGTTTTGTGAGGGAGGGAAAAGGCAACAAATGCTTAAAATCGATTACCCTTCTAAGCAGAACGACTTATATATATATATTTCTGAAAGGTTACCTGAAGTAAACTTTATTTCGC